GGGGGGGGGGGGGGCGCCGCGAGTCCCTCCGCGTAGGCGTCGCGGCTACTCTGATGGTCTACTCTGAAACGACGACCGGAGCTCGGTCGCCCTTTTGTTTTATACGGAACGAGCGTTTCTACGGCTACCGTCCCGATTGTTCGAGTGTTGCGGTGTTGCCGGATTTTTCTCAGCGGTCGGAGAGTTCTGTTCGTGTACATTCGTGTGGAAACGGGAAATTCCGCAACTGCTCACATATGTTTTTTTTGTCATTTTATTTTTACGTTATTCATATGAAATTTCCATCGCCAACTGTTTGGTGCTCAGTCGGGAACATCGAGGTTTCCTTTCTGCAGACTCGCCGCACTCCCCACGCGCCGAAGGATTTTCTGTCAACCCTAGCCTTTTGTGCCAAGCAGGAATCTTTTTAACTCAAACCAACTTTAACGCCCTTATTTTAAAAAAGAAAATCAATAATATTGTCACACCCCGCCAAGAAAATCATTGTTGAACAATTTCTGGTAAATTCTCATGGAATATTCACGTTAATGTTTAGGGCCAATACGGGCGGGACCCCTATAAATTCGATTTTAAAGTTGACATTTTGCATAGGGCTTTTCAATGGTCTATAAAGTGATTTCAGACCGGAGGGCACCAATTTTCTAAATTCGTTTGTTGATATTTGTTTTGTATGAAGCTGATTCGTCTTTGTAAATTTGAAGATTTCCGAATAGTATCTCAAGATGATGTCGAAGCCATTCACATATTCGGTAGGAATGGATTTGTATGTGAATGTTTCTATGTGATCATTCTTTTTTTATATATACTAGCCGTTCTGGACTTGCGCGTCCGTCACGGCCAGCCAAGGGGCTGCGCCCCCTGGACCCCCGATCACTCGCTATACGCGAGTGACATTCGGCTCGCTCATTTTGGACATTATTGATCATTAAGATGGATACATTTTGGAGACTCCAGAGGCAAAAATGATTTCTTGCTGGAGCGTGCCATCATTTGCACATGAATAGATGTGTGGAGATGAAGCGATGATGGGGATCGATCATTTCTTCAAAAACGCATTTGACTGGGACGTCATCCCATCGGGTGGCGGAAAAGACAATCCATGGATCTCCTTCCGCGATTTGACTTGCTGAAGTAGCAAAAGTTCATCTTTACCTCTTAAGAAGATTATCGGTGGCGTGGGGATCTAAAAACTGCTCAACGATGGTATAGTTCGAGTTCCGAATCGCAATGAGCCCACTCGTGTTTTTTTCTTATACTTTCATCGCATATAAATTTCACTGATGTTTTTGTTTTATTCTCTCTAATTGCATATTAGTAATCATATCCTCATTTCAATTCCTTTCTCTTTCCTTTTTCCCTTTCTGTAGCATCTGTGTCCATTTACAATTATCATTTTAAAATAGCTCTCCCCTAGTATACAATTGATGCTTCAAACGGAATCAATTGTTTTAATGACATGGGAGGTTGTAAATTCCGCCGATTTTATTTTTCTGGAGTGTAAATTCCACCGATTTATCATTCCCCCGATTTGTGAATTCCGCCGATATGACGTCCACCCAAAATGTAAATTCCGCCGGTCAATGTTTTTGAAACAGGATTTGCAAGTAGTGCAAATTTGCTTACCTCTATGTCTATGAGTTGAAGTCGGAGAGGAGAGCGTAGAAAATAAACATTTAGGGTGTAGAGAGCCCCACGTCAAAAAATAAAACAAAAAAGAGACCCATGTCGTAAGAAGACCAACAGTTTTTCACTTTTTCACTGTGCTGAAACGGTATGAAACTGTTTTAACAAATTTGAAACGGTCTTGGTGAATTTTAAATTTCATAATTGCATTGTCTACGTGTGCTTTTTGCCTTTTGACGTCTGACCGAAGCTTGGCTGGAGACCCGACACTTTGAATCCGGACGTACACTTCCAATTGGTAGGCGAGTAAAGCTTCAACGTTTTTTTTTATCGCGGAGTGAATAGCGGACTCAAAATCGACAACGCACTCAGTAGGTTTAAAGTTTGGGCATCGTTCCTTGATAAAATCGGTAACCTTGTCATATGCAGCTGTTTTTTTGTTCGGCAGGATGGCAAAAACTAATGGAATATAGTGACCATTTAAAACAGATAACATCTTAACTTGATGCTCTTGCCGAATATGAGTGCCGTTCCAAAAACATTTTCCTTTTCCTCCATCGGCGGAATTTACACTCGCTCGGTGGCACCTATCGGCGGAATTTACACTTTCGGTGGATGGAAAATCGGCGGAATTTACCCATTTTCGGCGGAATTTACGAGCGCCCAATGATATTTCCGGCTAAATCATGGGTTTTCCCAAGAAGACAGCCTCTCGTCCCTCCCGGACTCTATTGTTGCCAGATAAGTTGCTTTTTTAGCCCTTTTCCTAATTCAAATCCATGTAAAATATTCACATTTATCGCACAATCTGGCAACCTCTCGAGTGAAATAGAAAAAGGTAGAATCGCTGAAAGTCTGAATCCTTCGAAGTTTATATTAATGATGTTTTTTTTCTTTTGGAATTGCTCGGATTGCGGACGGAAATTTTTCCTTGCAGTATGGCAATGAAAACGTCCTTACGTCATTGCCGTACTTCTCTTCTTTAACATGATTTTTTGGAGTAACTATTTCTACGAATCACCTTAACTAAATAAAGTGCCAACATTTTCAACTATCAAACTATCAACTATCAAATTTCAAACTATCAAAATTTCCAACGATGACAAAAATGATTATAATATACCTATAATGTAATAAAATTTACACTCTCTAATCATTTAATTTGCATTACATTTATGTTATGTACCTACATGTTATACTATTTTTGTAACACATTTTGCCAACATGCTTTTCAATTCATTCTGCAACATTTCATTCCCACGTGGTAATAATGATTTATAATGCCTATAATCCATTATAATGCATTATAATAGTAATGCCGCAATATAATGTCGTATAATACATCGCAACGATTCATGTCCTACTGATTATTGATTATTGTGAGATGAATTCTGTTTTCTCTGATTGTATGTTTCATACGTGCGAAGCACGTACGGGTCGCTAGTTTAGATATCAACTTATTTCAGGAGGTAACATTGTTAGCACAAGGTACATGATTATGTACACTGAGGTAGAATGCTTTGAGTTGAATTTAACTATTCCTTGATGGATCATGCGGGCCATTGGACGCAATTGCCAAAGGCAGCAATTGCACTAGATAAACTGAAGGAAAAGTTTTCCCAATTAAGATGAATTTTTGATGGAAAAAATATTTCAAATTGTGGTAAAATCTTAAATTTTTCCCCAGAGGCTATCCACCAAGGATTCAAATGCAAAAATTAAGCCTCCGGAGGGAAAAGCAGAGGACAAGTCACCGCTGGCATTACCATGTATGGCTGCAAAAGCTGGTGGCGAGAGCCTCCTGGCTTTCAAATTCAAAAGTTTTGCAGTTAATACCTCTTACATGCTCCAAGATAGGAAGAAATGTAAGATTTGATGTATGATTACTTTTTCTACACCAAAGGCACATACTAACTGCACGACTAGTTTGTTTTCTCCAATTAAACTGATATGATAATGGAGGCATTTGTGTAACTTCCAATACCCAAATTTTGGGCAAAATATTTCTTTTGCACCTTTTTCTGTGAAATGGGACCAGCTGATGGCCGATTGTTGCAATATTCCACACTAAGAAAAAAGGTTGCATCCTAATGATCTTTTACTTGGCTCACCGTTGGTTTGAACCCAAGCTCAAAACTTAATAAGGTGACAACTAAATTCAGTCTCAAGGTTTGAAAAACCCGGTTCTACGAAGGCAAAAAACGGCATAGAAAAATGTTTAACAAAATTTGAGATGCTAACAGGGAATAGAAAAATTTGAACTTTTCACCTGGTATACAGTAACTTTGATGGTTCATAATCATCGATACCATAGACACCAACATTGCAGTCAGTGAAACAAAAAGGGTAGTTTAATGAGTACAAACCTTCTTGATAATTAAATCTACTACTCCTCCTAATCGTTCAGGATTGTTGATTGGTAAATCTTTAATTTGGTTGACTAGAGTGTCTAATTTTTGCGGCGTCAGCTTGTTCAATATACTTCTAACTTTGTTGTAGAGTTCCTGAAGGAAAAAAAGAATAAAAATGCCATCAGATGAAAACACACATACACTGAAAAATACACAAGTTTTTGTATTCCACTTTCTTTTTCAAGATATGCCAGCATGATTTGTTCTTTTTCAGGGAAAAAAAAAATTACAACTTTTTTCAGATTCTTCCTTGAAATCAAGTACCACAATCACATTATCTTTCTTCTTAAGCTACGCAATGACAATTCTTACTGAATTTTTTTATAGGTGGTTTGTTACAAATTTTTTATGAAGTGGTTATTCGGTGGTGCGGTACTGTTGAATAACTCCATCCAATTCTTAAATTTATGAGCTTTGAATAGTGCTTCTTATAGGAAGTTGAATAATTAAGTTCTACTAACCAGATAGCAGGCACTCAACTACCAACTTTAAAGGATTTGGAAGGGTTCTATTGACTAAGTATATGAATGTATTTATTTGTAATTTCTTTTTCCATCTTATGACAGAACGGTCAATTTAGGAACAAAGAGACTGAACATAAAGTGTATGTTTTCAAACTCTTCAAGGACCTAAAAGGGACATGCTAGGGTTCAAAATTAGAAGAGAAGAATGAGCTGTTCTTGCCATCACTTTCATTTCTCAATCAGCTTATTCTCATGTGCACTGCGCATATGAGCATTTGTGAGATAACAATTCTATCAGACAAAGGTGTTAGAATTGACCGGGTCCTAAAAGAGCTCGAGGACAAATTGGAACACTGGGAAAACTCTTTCCGAGATATGCTATTGATAAAAACAACACATGTGCAAAAAATACCTCTGTTTTCTTTTCTTCAGAGTTCATATCTACATTAGTTTTCTTGGCCAGCTTGACAGGTTTCCATGCGTTTTCAGTTTCCTTGAGTTTAACATCTTCATGCAGTGATAAGGATAACTGAATTTTATTGGATTTGTTCATACCACGGTTTTGACTAGGCCTCTTCGTAATTGAAGGGAAGGGATACTGAAATGAGAAAAAATAAAGCATATTATTCCTTGATGAATTATGATAACAATATTTATGAAAAACAAGTAGCCTACTTCAGAAATCGTCCATCCATAAATTGACGGAAGTTAATTTCATGCAAATCGTTAAATTAGTAAGTATCTTGCAACTTCGTTAGGCAAGTCGGAGGTGAAATTGCCCAAGTTGTTTAAAGTTAACAAAAGATTTTTAAAGAAAGATTTAAAGATTTTAACGATTTTTAAAGATTTTAACAAAAAATTTAAGACTGATGTAGTATTAGCTAGAGAAATGGGTAGTCATAAATGCCTATTTTCTTCAGTTAATTTCCTTCATGTGCTGAAAGAGTTGAGCTCCTTGTGATTTTCCCGGATTTTTTCTACTCAAAACAAGAAAGAAAATCTATTTAGAAGCTGCCAAAATTTGGACCCATTTGAGACATTACTTGCGACTGTCTTTTACAACATACGAAGGAAAAAGGGTCCGCTTGTGCTGATTGGCCGCCTAAGACATGGCCTCTACTTGGTTTTGTCATCATGACTGTTTGCCTCTCGGTGATCAAAATTCAATCAGCTATTTCTTCCCTTAGCATCAATTTACCAGAGGTTTTGGCATTCAACTATTATTCTTTTGGAAAGTTTTTTGGACACATTGGCTGATTAGTGTCATGATATGCCAAAATTTAGCGTTTTTGGTTTAATCATGAGAAACTTCCATGAAAAACTTTTGAGGGGCACCGAAGGCTCTTGCGCTTAATGAGCTATTGGGTCCCTTCAGATTTGATGATCTCTCTCTATTGTAACACGTTTATTGTCAGTGATTTCAAGCAAGACAAGGCATGTCAGCTGAACAGCTGATTGTTAATACATAGGCTGTCCAAAAAGTACCGAGACTGGTTCCATAACTCAAAAACCATGATAGCTAGAGGCTTGATCTTGGTTTCATTTGAAAGATCAACTCAATATCTATCGATTAAGACCAAGATCAAAACTTTTGGTCAAATATTTCAAAAGTTACAACACAGTTAGTAAAAAAAATATCTGGACCCCCTACCGTTTTTTTATGACTATTTTATCTTGCCGGGAACACTCTCTAAATTATTAATGATCAGTGCACGGTTCTTTTGCAACTAATCATGGAAAAACCTAATCAATTTGGAGACACTGTCAAGCGGTCGTCGTCCGACTACGGGCATACGGGCTCAAAATCCACGGGGAAAGAATGAACCGTCGGTCAGCCACCCTCAAAAAACCCGGGAAATTTTCGGCAGTTGTTGACAGTTCACAGTGCGTGCGTGGTAGCTACGCTGCAGATAGTGAGTGAATTTGTTTCTGTGTTCGAAATTTTTGATACCATCATGGAAAGAGATAAAGCAGTGGTATCAAAAATTTCGAACACAGAAACAAAATCACTCACTATCTGCAGCATAGACCACGCACGCACTGTGAACTGTCAACAACTGCCGAAAATTTCCCAGGTTTTTTGAGGGTGGCTTACCGACGGTTCATTCTTTCCCCGTGGATTTTAAACCCGTATGCCCGTAGTCGGACGACGACGGCTTGACAGTGTTTCCAAATCGATTAGGTTCTGCCATGATTAGTTGCAAAAGAACCGTGCATTGATCATTAATAATTTAGAAAGTGTTCCCGGCAAGATAAAATAGTCATAAAAAACGGTAGGGGGTCCAGATATTTTTTTTACAAACTGTGTTGTAACTTTTGAAATATTTAACCAAAGGTTTTGATCTTGGTTTTAATCGATAGATATTGAGTTGATCTTTCAAATGAAACCAAGATCAAGCCTCTAGCTATCATGGTTTTTGAGTTATGGAACCAGTCTCGGTACTTTTTGGACAGCCTATGTAGTACCTTGGTCATACACCTCGTTTGACGTCATTGGCAATGAGCACCGTCTATTCCAGGGGTCTGACTTACCCTCACCTTTGAGTTAGGGATCCAGCTCAAGTGTGTCTGGAGAGTCACCTGCATAGTGAAATAAGTCATGCAAAAAGATCGTCTCCACCACACACATGAGTTTTCCTTCACTCTGACTAACCCCCCAAAATCTTCCGCACAATATTTCCTCTTCCTAAATTCTACTTCACTGAGTTAGAGGCTTCCTTCTGTTTCCATTGCACAAGAACTCTTTGGAAGATTGATCTGAACAAAATTATTTAACATGAAACGATTGATTCTGTCGAGAGATACGTACTGCACTATGTTGAGATATCCTAGGACTTTGTGAACTGCCCTTGGAGAAAGGATACAGCTCATCAATCTTTGGTCGATACATACTGGGGCCTCCACCTGAACCACCACCAGAAACCTGCGAAAAACACAAGGAATTTACTTTGAAATTATGGAGACAACACATGTTGATGTAAAAACAAATACAATGAAAAAAATTTTGAAATCAGAAAGGTGAATTGGTTTTTCATCTTTACTGAGCTAGTTATGATCCGCGACCTCAGCGTTCAAATCATGGACGGATTTGACTGAAATCAATCTAACTGCATTTCATTTTGCTTATTTTTCTTTCATACTTTATCTTTTTAACAGAGAACTGAACTATTTTACACCTTTAAATTTTCTGTGAACTAACCCTAGATCACGAAGAATGTACTAGGAAGAAAGAATTTTATGTATTACCAGTTCCAAAATGACATCATGAAAGTAGACCTAAGAGGACACATCCACTGGTAACCTAGAATTCCTGTACTTAGAGGGCTCTTCCCGCATTCTGTCATCTTCCATCTGAAGTATTAGGTACTATGTCGCCAAACTTCTCAAATTTGTCCAATTTTTCTTTTTTTGAAAAACGGATAAACAGAATCTATTAAAAATTGTACCTAATATTTCTTACGCCATCAAGACAAATCTCTGAAATTTTCATGAAAGTATGTGCAAGAGTTTTGAAGGAAAAATTAAAAACGTTTATTGAGATGTCTGCTAACAGAGTCTTTAAGCGTACAAGGCGCTTGTGATACTTTGACCAGAAGCAACCTGAAAGCGAATGATAAACATAGTTACGGCATACCTTTTCAACAGAAACCCGCACGTTCATAGGCAGATTTGGTTGGATCCTACACTGCGGCATATCAGCCAGAGAGAGGAGGAAGTCTTTGGGATATTTCTTTTTGCCCACAGGATTTGTTGGACTCCATTGACCTGAAACATAGAATACATTTTCAGATTAGTTACGGTCAAGATATGGGGCTATAGAAGGATAGTAGTCAATAAAAAAAACACATTTGAGAGGAGAATATAAAATGGAAATCGACGGGCAATTCCAAAATTTTAATTCAAAATAACTCCCCACATTAATGAGAAAGCATTTGATTCATTGAGTCATGATAAAGAATTCATAGATATTTTCAAGAGAGAGCATAGGTAGCCAGAAGGAAGCTTAAAATTCATAATAATGTAAGTAGACTTGAGTTTTTTCAAACTCCTGGAAATTAAACTATTGTTACGAATTTTAAAGTTAATCATATGCGTTGAAATTCCGTTACAATCACCTGATTCACTTAGGCCATTTTCGGAAACTGTGTTGAAACTCGTGCCAAGGGGATCAATGGAGGCAGAAAATTCCTCGCAAATATTTTTACATACTTCAACTAATGAGGGATTATAAGTCACATCTTTGACTACACTCCTCGTAGAGTTAAGTTCACGTGGCTCCTCGGTCGAATTCATGCGAATGGTAAGACCATTGCTAAGAGCAGCAGATGCACTTGGCCTTCTGTCAGAATTTCTCTCACTGATCTTTGTTTCGGAGTAATTATGAGCAGATTCCGAAGGATTAGATGTGCCAGATAATTCATTCGCACTTCCCTTAAATTCAGCGACAGAGCCAAATCTGTTATTCTTTGACTGTAATGAGGCATTTCCTGGTGCAGTAGCTGTCTTCTGATCAGACATGATACTTTCATTTTTTCCCGGCTCCTGGATGGCACCAGGCAGCACTGAATGATGACCAGGTGCCATTGATGAAAAATGAAGGCTGTGCGGAATCAAAGTAGCTGATGCAGGATTTGGATTATTGAGCGCAGTGTTTCCAATTTGGCTGGTTAGATTATCCTGCTCTGGCGAGATACAACTCGCAGAAACATTACTAGAGTTGTGACATAAGTTTGGAGAGACTACCGTTAGGTGTACGCTTCTGATGGTTGCGTTAAAGTCATGTTCAACGGAGGGCACTGCTTTAAGACTCAACCGGGAGCCATTGATCACTGAGGTTTCAGTTTGATGGGCACTTTGAGGGTTACTTAACACATCATTTCTAACGTCAAATTTGTTAGGGCCTGAGGGTTCCAGACTTTCACTTGTGATTTTATGAGAAGAGTTACTTGTCAATGAGGACACACTGTTACTTGAAGTGGAGGAAGTGTGAGTGTCCTTTGTCTTACCGCCTCCGGAATTAAGTTCGCCTTCGGGAGATAGTTCCGATCCCCTCAGTTCGTTTTCAGGCGAGGAAATTTTTTTTGGAGATTGCTCATTGTTAGAACACGAGCCTTCACCAGATTGGTAATAGTTATCTGATCTAGATGAATATTTGGAATTTTGCTCAACGCTACTATCTTTGGTCTGATGTTCATGCTGGATTTGCTGCTCCAGTTCTTTACTCCTTGATGAGTGATCGCTCTGGGACCAGGAGTTCTTCCTGATGTACGGACCTGCATTAGAGAATGAGTTTCTTCTCGAGTTGGTGTTGGGCGAATCTTTCTTAAAGGGCTTACTCGCATAAACGATTCGCTGCCTCCCTCCGAACTCGTCATTCTTCGGGGGGCCTTCATTTCTCGAGAACGAGTTCTTCCTGAAGGACTGCGGGTTGTCAGAAAAAGAGCCTCTCCTGCTATTGGGTTCTTTGCTTCCTTTCGCGAGCGGCTCATTTTGAGAAAACGAGTTTTTCCGCGATGACTTGTCTTCCTTCGAGAACGAATTTTTCCTGGCGTAGGATTTCTCCGAGTTCCTTCTTTCGTAGTCAGCTTTGGTGAAAGAGTTCCTCCTGGAGGAAAACTCGCTCTTGCTGAACGAATTCTTCCTGCCGCAAGTTTCATCTTGGGACAAGGAATTTCTCCTCGAGGAGACGTCCTCCCTCGGCAAAGAGTTCCTCCGAACGAAATACCTCTCTCTGGATTGAGAGAATTTCCTATCCGTCGGCGCATCGTTCTTCGGGTGGTGTTTATCCCCGATCGAACTCCGACGCCAATCCGCGTCGCCTTTCGGAGCCCGAGCGCTGTTATCATCGTTGAGCAAAGAGTTCTTCCTCGAGTAGATCACCGGCGGTTTCCTTTCGTCCACCTCGAAGCTCTTCGGCGCTTCCTTCCGGCTCTCGAGGGCGCTTTTGAAAGACATGCCATTGACTAGGGGTTCACACTTATCCATCACAGACGTTCTGAGAGCCTCGACTTGTTTCACGAGACTCGCGCTTTTCGGGATCAAACATTCAGTCTTATCGGTTTCGCCGAGGTTAAAACGAGTATCAGTCTTATTTGGGCAGGTGGATTCCAGGGAACCGTTCCCAGCTACGTCAACATCCTTCCTGGGCGTCTTTTGCAGATCGCCGGATACCGGGCCTTTGACGTGACACGGCCTTCGCTCGCCGTCCGGCGTTTCAGGGGCAGCGAGCACGTTCGAGTTGGAATCCGTGTTTCGCAGTGACGTCATGGAGGCGTCGTACTCGGCGCGGAGCTTGGCCACCTCCTCGGCGACGTTCACCTCTTCGCGGGCGTTCATGCTCGTCATGTTCGACGTGTTCGTCGTGTTCGCCGAGCGACTCCGCTTGGCGTGGCGGCTCCTGCTGCGCCTCGAGCGACGGCGCCCGTGCCGCCGCGGCAAACTACCGCACAGTTCGGCCATCGCGTCTCGCGGTTCCGACCTCACTTCATCCCCGAGGACTCTCCTGTCTCTTCAGGCTCCAAGAGGCAGTCCGCTTCGGCCGGCAACCGTCGAGGCGGTGGGCGAGCACTGCATGGCCGAACTAACCTAAATCGAGGTACGATGATCAGAGCATCTTATTCCGATCTGCACTGGTTATTTAAGTAGTTGCGACCGACACTCCGCGATAGAATTCAAGTATTCAGAAAAGTTGTCGGGTATCGGTTTTACGATGGACGCAACTGCCACTTTTGTTACGTTTGTTGATCCTCGAAAGCGTTAAAGTTTTCGGACACGAATTCAAGCTATCACTGGTTTTTTTACGTCGGATTCCTGATCAGAGTACAAAGCAAAGAGATACGTCCCCGATGGTTCTTCCGGTTCTATCGAATCGTGCGCGCGACCAGCTGTTCGGAACGAGATGATGCAAGATTCGAAACACTCGCGCACTCCTGGATCGTCCTCTCCAAGATCAAGGGTGTTCGGGTCTCCTGATTGAAATTAGATACGATCAGCGATTTACCAGCGCACGCACTTGACGTAACACGGCACAAAGATTGATGAACAACACTGAATATTAATATTGCGAGAGCCTTTGAGTTAAAATGAAAACTGCGGTAGGACCAACGCCGAACTCAGTGCAGGAGTGCGGATATTGGTCAAGGGCGAAAACACTTCCGAGCGATTCCAACAGCACCGACACCAACCAGGACAAACGTCAGTCCAGAAAGTTCAAGTTTTCTAGAAAGAAAATTTGTTGCAA